CAAAAGTACAGACATAAGTGGAGATCACAGACTTGCCTGGAACCCAGAAGTGGAATGAATAAGCTGTTTTAAGGAACTGAGTTGTCAGTTGTTAGAGCATGTCCCTTCTCTTCCCCCTCCAAAAAAACCCCCAAACCTCGTTTTAAAAAAGTGCACCCAGGTTCATGTTCCAAGTAGAATGTAACAAAATGAGCCAGATTGGAGGATTTTTTTTCTCCAGCCTCTTTGAATAGCCTTTTCTCTACTTTTGGAAACTTCGAAATCAGAGCATTCTAGTTCTGTGACAGAATTTTGCTGTATATATTCTCATAGATTATTTTCTTTGTTTTGTGTGAATTTTCTGGTCTTCCTTTTTTTTCATATCAAGTAATACAAATAGACGTACTGTCTAGACCCTTAATTTTCAGCTAAAGTTTTGAAAGATCTAGGACTAATTGTAATACCTAATCCAAGAAAGCCAGTGACATGATGTATTTCCTTGAAATAAATGCTCCTGAAAATCTGCTGCTGGAGCAGTCTGGCTTGCGAAAACCAGAGAGGGAAGATTTTCTCCGTCCCTTAAGAAACCGAAAGCAAGGGAAAGATGCCATCAACGGCTGCTGCGAGTGGAGCCACTGACCAGTGGAACGATGAAGAGCAGGGAAGGTGTGATTGATCCAAGAGAGGCTTAAGAGACCTGCTGGAGCTGGCCCTGAGAGTTCTAGAGGCGTTATTTTGTTATTGCAAATATAGATTCTAGGACATTCAGGGGAATGGCTTTTAATTGACCGTTGACAGGCAGTGGGAGTTTGTTTTAGTGCTGAATACTCCGGGAACAAAATCCTTTTGAAAGAAAAGCTTAGTAGTTTCACGCCACCAAAGTGCAGATTTGGTAAAGAATGCTTGGTGGGACAAAGACCTTGGTGCGTTCGCCCTAGTTCCCATAGGCAGCAAGATCACTTTGGTAAACGCAGAATCTGGCCTGTAAGGGGGAGGGGGAAAAGTGGCCGGGAGATGAAGGTGGGGGGAGTTGGGGGAGACGGGAGGAAGGAGCCAAGTAAACCCCTGCCTGAAGGAGACAAAAAAAGTCTCTCTCTACCTTCTCTCCTTCATCCCCAACTTTTCACTGCCAGTAAGAGACAAAAATGCAAAGACGAGGGAAGGAGGCAGCGAGAGAGGGAAAGGGCGGGGGGAAGGAGGAGAGAGACAGAGACGGGCAAAAGCAGGCAGACAGAGACAGAGACACCAGAGACAGGGAGAAAGAGAAATAGAGACAGAGACACAGACGGGGGAGGGGTGGAGGCAGGAGTGGCTTAGCTAAAAAGTCCTCTTTGCCTTAGCAGAGTTGACTTTCCAAAGGAAGACTTAGTATTGTTTTTGCAGCCTAGGAAACCCTAATGAGTCAGTTGGTACTTTACTCTCCCCCCAACTCTCCCCCCCCCCCCGCCCGGTCCCCAGTGTTTTGTAAATATTAACAAGATAGCGAAGGTTATTCGCTTAGAGTGTAGGGACTAGAAGTATTTGCTTGTGATTGTTGGTGTTTTTAATATGAGAAAGTGCTCCCTCCCCACCCATCCCTCCACTCACGCACCTGCTTGAAAACAGAAGGAATAAAAATCAATATTGTATTTGTCACCCCTCTGTCTCTTTTTTACTCCCTCAACAGCCCGGGTGCCACTGAAGCGAATTGTGGATTTATGGGGGGAAATTAGCATAAATTATTACCAAATCTGTAGCCGTGTGTGGTCCAGCTTGTGGGAAAAGAGGCTATTGCGAACCCTCCAAGCAGAAAGGTGGTCCTTGGTGGGCTTCATGGAAGCGATGAATGGCTATTGCACGAAATAGATTTCCATTTGGTTTGCACATTGATATAATTGACTTATGTGTATTTTATACAGTTTTCCCAATACCCCCCCCTAAGCCTCCTATTTGAATTTATCCCCTAAAAGCTCCTGTTTGTTTTGGGTTTCTGCACAATAGACCCTGATGCACTTTTCAAGCTTTCTGGAAAGTGTTCATTTCCCTCCCCTTTTTCCATAATACTGGTCTTAAAATGTTGTAAATTGTATTCAAATCCCCCCCACCCACACACTTTGTTTAGTTTCAGTAAGAAGCAGGATTTATCTGATACAATTTAGCAAAACCTCTGTTCTAAATCTTAGAATCCCTCCTCACGTTTAGTTGGGTTTATTTCATTATGTTTATGGATGAGTAAAAAGTGTGTGTATGTTTCTCTCTGTGTGTGCTAAACTTCGAATATTTCCAGAACTCTGATTCCTACTTATATTATCAATGGCTCTAAGGTTAATGGTTGCAACTTTTCCAGGAAACATGGAAAAAGATTTATTTCAACCTGCATTTTAATGCTTCAACATTTCCACTCTCTGAATTTAATTTTCTCTTTAAGTAATGATTTAGATAGTTACACCATGCTCCTTTGCAAAACAGTAAAATGCCAGTTGTTAAAAATTAAAAAAAAACCCAACACTTTTCTGTCTCTCACGCACACTAAGGTAAAAAGATAATCTTTCTGTTTGTCACACTTATTGTTCCTTTGTCCCCAAATAGAACCATCATTCACCTATCTTTTTTGCCTATTTCAGAAAAAACCCAACACTTTTTTGACAGGCAATTAAAGATACTAACAACATAGCTACAGTTTGTTCATAATACATCTATAATCATGTGTATATGTGTGTTGAGTTGCTAAAAGGAAGCTAATGGCATTTACCAGTGCTTAACAGGCCGCTCTACCTATACTCCCGTTCTGAACAAGAGGGGGAAAAGGTCGTGAAACCCTGTTTCCACTTCAGAATGTGCTTCAGTGCTTTTCTTTCCTTCTGAGAACTGTTTTTTATGGAGAAGGAAAGTAGGCACGTGGTTCGGTTTTGGGTTTTTGTTTGTTTTAATTCTGGGAAATGCCAGTGTGCTTGCACTAGTTCCTAGACCTCGCTTTTCCGGATCCCTGGGGAAGGGCTTTGCCTCCCATCCTGGAAAAAGCAATCTGAACCAGTCACCACGATTTAACTTGCTGCGCCTTGTTATAAGGCTAATGAGAGCTCGGCTCCGATAAGTACTCCCAGGGACAGTGGCTTAAATTCGGTTTTCACTAATATCTAGGTAGTTCATCTACATATAAAGAATCATCTTTCTGGTATGGTCAAACTGTATATGGATGGATAGGTCAGGTAGTTTTCCCCTCCTCCCTCTCTCGTCCCCCCCCATGTCTCTTCCTTCTCCCTGTTATTTTTACTGAATTAAGAAGGTGACATTATTCTTTTCTTCAAGTACTTCTGTTAATATTGAAAAACGTGCGCTTGCATTTCAAACGAGTCAGCTCAGACCCGGGAGCCATTTCAATATTAATGAAATTGTTTAATCTCCTAAATACATCGTGTTTAAGTTACGTTTTGGTGAGTTATTGACCACCTCCGAAAATGTTGTTAATGGGGGGGGAGAGAAAGAGAGAGAGAGAGACAGAGAGTGTGTGTGTGTATGTGTGGTGTCTACTAAGTCTAGAATATCTTCTTAATGATAGCCAGAATGAGTTTTTTTCCACCTCATCGGAAAATTTGCTGAGATTAAAATGTCAACATTTTTGTATATGCTCTCCCTACATTTCTCTAGAACACCTGAGAAATTATTGTGCTTGGACTTTAAAGGAGGAGAAAGGACAAATTTCTCTTAAAACCTCAAAGTCATGCAATGCCAGGGGACCATGCAGATAGATAATCAGAGGGCACGCGGGGACGCTGATTTAGCGTTTATTCTACATGGTTTAAAAAATACATAATTGAATTCGCCTGAGAGAGCGATACAGATAAAGGCTAGAAACCTCCACACCAAACATCTCCGTGAGCACTCACATTCGCTTCCCCCTCCGAAAAGTCAAAACTGTTCCCCTCTCTTTGCAAGCCTCAGAAGCTACTGCTGGTTTTATGGGACTTCTGATGGCTTTCTCCAGGACTCTCTATTTTCATGTAGCCTGGAGACCCTAAATAACCTCTCCCAGATAAGGGAGGGAAAAACCCAGAAAAGTTCCGGCTGTAAAATGCAAACTGGGAGATTCAATCCTCTAACACTTGAAACAACGAGGTAAATGGAACTCCTAACTCCCTGGAGGTTGATTCGAGTAGGAAAACAGTCAGGAATTCACCTGGTTAGAATACCATCTGCATTGAACTGACATCTACAACTCTAGTGTCAAATCAAATTACCGGAGTAATCTTAAAGCAGACAGTTTGGCAAGTAATATACAGTTACACAGCCTTAATTTTTTTTTAAACCTGACCAAAACGTTTAGAAGCAAAATGGGCTCTTATCAAGGGCTGTCCAATCCAATTATGTAATTTATAAAACCCCATCAGATTTTTTTTTTAAAGCGACACACCAAATTCTGCACGGCAGAGGAAACAGCTTAAAAGGTAATACAAACTTCAGCCGGCCTCGATGAGGACTTAAAAGTATTGCATTTTCATTATAATCACCCTTGCAACAGCCATGAACGCGGTTTGACTGGGCAAAAGGAAAAGTCTCTCGTTAAGGAAAAGCCCTGCCTTAAGTTAGCCAACAATACAAATCAGTTAACAATGCAGAACAAACAGAATACCACAGCCAAGCAATTTCCATGTCAAACATCGCTCTGCTCAGTAGCTCCATTGGTAAGTGTGAATCGCAGACTAAGCTCCCTGCGCAGTCCACAGAAGGGCCGTTGCATACCTTCACACGAACTGAGACTGGGGGTGCCATCCCACTTCAATTCCGGTTGTTGAGCCTTTTCACCCCTCGCCTTGTCTTCAAATGGAAATGATTTCTATTGGCCCAAGGTGTCCATGTAAATAGGTGTAAATGAAACCAGATTATGCCTCTCTCTCTCTCTCTTCTCTCTCTCTTTCAGCCCCCTCCCTCTTCAGCCCCCTCTCCCTCCCTCTATTCCTCCTCCCCCTTCTCTTCCTCCTCCTCCTCCTCCCAGGGCGATTGTCATATGATAGCAAAGAAGTGGCACATTAATGAAGCGCCTCTACAGGGGTCTTTTCTGCTCCTGTCACCGCATAAAACTATCAGATGGTTCCAGGAAGGACATGGAGGCAACTACCTAGCTCAGCGTCTCGGCAGAAGAGAAAGCAGCTCCCGCTGCAGGCACGGCGCAGTTGCGGCCGCCACCAGTGGTCATTGGAGCCGAGCTTGCCCGCTGGGAGGGGGAAGCAGAGTCGGAGATCGCCGGGGACTGGGCGGCTCTGGGGCTCCGACGGTTTGAGCAGCTGCATAGCCCAGCAGAGCGCCGAGCCTAACGGAAAGGCTCTAGTGCTGCTGGGCTTTTGGGAACAGACGCCCCGTGGGCAGCCTCCCGGATGCGGACGGCCAACTTAGAGCAACTTTAAGGTGGGTCCTGCCTAGGCTTCGCCCCCCTCTCCAATCCTCTCTCTCCTCACCTCTAAGTCCCTGGGCCCCCTTCCCGGGTTCTCCTTCCGCATTTCTGTCTCCAGCTTGCTACTGTTCAGGCACCAACTAGCGCAGCGCGTAAAGTTACTTTGGAGAGCTTGCCGTCCCAGGCGGGTCAGATTGACTAACCAAGAGGATTTTTAGGTTAAATTGGGGTTGGTACTCTTCTCCCCTTCCCCCGTTCTTTCTCTTACCCCATACTCACTGTTTCCCTGCTTCTTTTCCTTTTTTTCCCCTCCCATTTCCAAGTAGTCCTGTAACTCGGCCCCGCTGACCTCGAGGTGTCTGTCCGTCTACCCCCTCCCTCAACCCTCCCCTCCCTGGCAGATCCAAGCAGCCTGCCAGCCCGCCCGCGAGGAGGAGGAGGAGGAGGAAGATGCCTCGGCCCGGCCGAAACACGTACAGCGACCAGAAGCCGCCTTACTCTTATATCTCGCTTACTGCTATGGCTATCCAGAGCTCACCAGAGAAGATGCTGCCCCTGAGCGAAATTTACAAGTTCATCATGGACCGTTTCCCCTACTACCGGGAGAATACACAGCGCTGGCAGAATAGCCTGCGCCACAACCTTTCGTTCAATGACTGCTTCATCAAGATCCCGCGGCGGCCAGACCAGCCTGGCAAGGGCAGCTTCTGGGCTCTGCACCCCAGCTGCGGGGACATGTTCGAGAACGGCAGCTTCCTGCGGCGCCGCAAACGCTTCAAGGTGCTCAAGTCCGACCACTTGGCGCCCAGCAAACCGGCCGACGCGGCTCAGTACCTGCAGCAGCAGGCCAAGCTGCGCCTTAGCGCCCTGGCAGCTTCGGGCACCCACCTGCCCCAAATGCCCGCGGCCGCCTACAACCTGGGCGGGGTGTCACAGCCCTCGGGCTTTAAGCACCCTTTCGCCATCGAGAATATCATCGCTCGCGAGTACAAGATGCCCGGGGGCTTGGCTTTCTCCGCCATGCAGCCAGTGCCCGCCGCCTATCCTCTCCCGAACCAGTTGACTACCATGGGCAGCTCCTTGGGCACTGGCTGGCCCCATATGTACGGCTCGGGCATGATCGACTCGGCCACCCCTATCTCCATGGCGAGCGGCGACTACAGCGCTTACGGGGTACCACTGAAGCCGCTGTGCCACGGAGGGCAGACGCTGCCCGCCATCCCGGTGCCCATCAAGCCCACGCCGGCCGCTGTGCCCGCCCTGCCCGCCTTGCCCGCGCCCATCCCCACTCTGCTCTCGAACTCGCCCCCCTCTCTCAGCCCCACTTCTTCGCAGACAGCGACGAGCCAAAGCAGCCCCGCCACCCCCAGTGAGACTCTCACCAGCCCGGCTTCCGCCTTGCACTCTGTGGCCGTGCACTGACCCGGAGCGGCTGGGCCCCACTACCCCCTCCCTGCTTCTCTTCCCTTTCCCCTAGCCACACACAGTCCCCGTTTCTGAGTCTCTCGGGGGTATCTTCTAACCACTCACCCCACACCTGTTTCCTCTATCCCCAACTTCCCCCAGGCCCCACAAGACCCCCATTTCAACGAAGTGCAGGCTAGCTGCGCCAGGGTTGAAACCGACCATTCCCCTTTCCCTTCGGTCCGGGCCCCGGGTTTCCAGAACTTTGTTTTGGACTGCAAAGGAAACAACACAAAAACTTGGGAGAGTCCAAGAACTCGGTGCCTCTGGGTGTGCAGGAATTTCCGTGGCCCATCCCCCACCGGAGGGGAAGGATGAAGTTGGGTCACTCCCCCATATCTATCCCCCCACCCCCGCCCCACTGTGGGGTTAGGAGAGAAACCCCCATCAGGCACTCCTAGGCATCCTACCGAACCCGAACCCTCCAAGGCTTCTTCACGTCCCCCTTTTGGCAGAGTCAGCAGTTCAGAAATAATCTAAACCGCTTCTGAGCAGATTCTCTCTACTCTTCTACCTGCACCTACTCTGGGCTCACTACCACCAGACGCCTTCAGCCGTGAGGCGGCAGAGCAGGCCACTTGAGGTCCCGAGCCTCTGTTTATGTCTTATCCAAGAGCTAGGGATGGGACCACGAAGCCCAGAACTCCCACACAGCGCAACCCCCCGGCCCTCTCCCACCTTCACCCACTTCTCAGTGCTTCCCGGACAGCAGCCAGAAAGTTCACCCAAGTTGCTCGGCGGCTTGCTCCAGTCTCTTATGGGCTCTGGGTTTTGTTTTATTATTGTTATTATTATTATTATTTTCATTTTTCCAGCCAGGAGCACTGGGCTAGGTACAAAAGCCAAGGGCGGGACACCTGTTTAAAGTGAGTGGGGGAGGGGTGGGGAGAAACAATAAACAAATAAACCCCGTATTGTTTACAAAGCTCCAGTCAAAATGTAAATAGTGACCTTGAGTCTGTACCCCGAGGCTGGCTAGGCCCATTTTACAAGTAACAGTTGTAAAGCCAACGTTTACTTTCCATTTCTGTCGAGGTGGGTTGGAAGAAAATTGGGGGTTAGAGCAGGGAAAGATGGGAAAGTTCATTTGTATGGCAACTTTTTCTGATTCTTTAGAGATCATTTAAGGTATTTATTTTACTGCTTAATAAAATTAAGATGAAATAAAACCACAAATAAGAAGACAGCCAAGGGCAACCCTTGATGAGTTAGCTGCAGTAGGGAACTGGTAACATGATGGGGGGGGGAATATCATTGGAGATTTCTCCCACAAGACTAGTCTTTCTGTTTGTTTTATTAGAAGCTTTCTGTTTTATTAGAAACTGAAAGGGCTGTAAAGGGATGTACATGCTTGTGAATAGGAATGATGATAAACTGTGTAAAATGCACTTTTCGTTCGCTATATTCCCTTAGTTTTAGATAGTTTGCTGGAAACCGAACTGTTTTTCTGCTGTGAACTGCTTAAGTTAAAAAAAAAAGTTGTCACCAGAATTGTAAAGAAATCCTTTTTTTCTTCCTGTACAGAATAAGCATGACATTTAAATATTGATGTTCTTGTTCCCAGCATGCCTGTTTTAAAACAAAGGATAAAAAAGTGTCTATGTTAAATTATGAACCTAGTCCAAATAATATTTTCTCATTAAAATATGTAAATTCATATTTAGTTTCTTGTCTTTTTGAATAGTTGCCCCAAATAAGAACATTTTGAGAAATGTAGATCCTTTGATACTTTTTTTAAGGGATATCACAGATGCAGAATTTCTTCCCCACTTCCTGTTTGTTTGTAGCTTGCATTCCTTCCACCTTTGCACTTATCTTTGGGAAAGATGTTTTTGAGGCAGACTTTGAAAGGTGTTCATACATAAAAGATGTGTCTAGTACCAGCACAAGTACACAGGTGTAACAGAATAAAAGTCATTGAAGGTACATGGTATCTCCTCTATTTGGCATTTATCTTCAGATATCTCCAGATATGCAAAATAATATGCATGTAAAAATTTTAAAATGCTTGAGAGAGACAGTGTAGCTATTTTATCAGGGTAAATTCAGACATACTGCTTATACATCTCAGTTGAAGTCAGATTTAAATATCATTTTAAAATAAATTATCATAGTCCCTGAGACCTTCTTTTTCAGAATATCCCAAATAGCTTAACACATTTATAAAGAAAATGGTCCACTTTGGACTGAAAATATTTGGATTAATTTTTCTACCTGGAAAAACAATGTTTAATGAATTTAATTATCCAGAAATGAATGTTAGCTCCCCTAAGAGTTTGATTCCAAATATTTTCACTTCTCTAGGTTCTAAAGGTAATATCATATGGAATTTATCACTCCAAGCTAAATGAAATCAATTTATTGAAGGCATTGCCACGTTTTGAGAAATGGGTGTGCATTCAACTTACAAGACAAAGATGCTTAAATGCTTGTTAACATTTGAGAATTACGTTCTTGGAAACTGTGAGGTGTAATATAACTATTTCAAATGATTAAACAAAATTACTTATAGCAGTTCCCACACTGAAAACACATGTAATATAACACAATTTTCTGTAGCCTTCAGAAAAGAATAATCTGTTCCTATCAGCAACTCAGAAGTGTGCTTCAAAAAAGAAGTTTAAGATCAACATAGAGTAATTAATCCTATTGCAACCAATTTTTAAAAGCATGGATCCCACACGCAGCCAAAAAAAAAAGGTGGAAAATAAATGAATCATTGGACTGATTAAAATGCATGAAGCCACTAAAGCTTGTCAGACAAGGGACAACCGAATTCATTCATCAAGTCCAACTCACAATTATATCAACAAGATCAGCTCAAGAAAGCACTGGAAACTTATTAGATCCTAGGATATAAAACTCTCAAAACTTTTTATGAAACAAGAAATGACCTACATTTTCCTTAAGTGCTTTTTACTTCCCCACAGTTCCCTTCAAAACCAAAAGAAGAATATCCCTAGTAAAGTGCTAATCTCATCAAATTCAGAAAAGTTGAATACAGACTGCCTGAGTTCATCCCCCGGCTACTAAGAGGGCATGTGAAGTGGCCACAGTTGGGGCCTTGGTGATTTAAAAAAATTATCTCTGGAGATTTTCAGCAGGTAAACATTCCCATTAGCAGATTCACCTTTAGCTTCCCTATATTGACAGCATGTGAAGAGGCATGTCAATATAAACATATTCCTTGTGAATGTGTAAACATTCACAGAGAGACACGATATTATAGTTTTGAAATCCATCAAAGAAACATTTCCATTCAGATTTTAAAAACCTTATGTTCATTGGATCTGTTATTATGCACATAAGGAAATATAACAACTTTTGTGTAACAAAGAACTTGTCACAGTTTGGTTAGATGATTCTGCACACATACAGTAATAGATGGGCTGATAGTTTATTTTCTTTTGTTTTGTTTTTATCTGTAACCAGAAATCCAAAGGTAGAAGTAAGCATCCATTTCCTCCTGCCTTGGGAAATGAGACCTGTTTATCTAAAATACACCAAGTTAGCGAGTTCATATCTCCAGTGACTACAATTTACTGCTTTGTCTCGTTAAATCTCTTTACTTGGCTCAAATCCAAAGTCAATAAACACAGATCTGAAATAAAACTGGAAAAGACAACACTGAGGGTGTGTGTGTGTGTGTGTGTGTGTGTGTGTGTGTGTGTGTGTGTGTGTACAAAAAGAAAAGCTAATAGCAGCCCTATACTGAGTACTGAAAGAAGTTGTTGCTGTTATGATTGTTGCAAGTTCTATTTCAGGTAAATAAGAGGATTTGATTTTGGACCCTTGCTAGAGAGCCTTTTCTAACATTAGTTGGTGCTAAAAGGTATTTTAAAAATAATCCTTTAGTCATTTTGGGCATTCTGGTATAATTACTATGTTATAGTTATTGGTTGCTAAGATCTACTCTGTGTTGTGCTTTGTGTGTGTGAAGCCTCGACTTTCAGGAATAGGAACTCATCCTGGTGAATGGTCCCTAGAATTACACTAATGCTGTGTTGGTGGTGTGTCTTTTCCCTTTGCATTGCTTGTGAGAAAAGTGATTGTGTCTTGGGAGCCCGAGTCTGGTCAGGTGCTTGGCTGGGCTGGGGGAGGGTGAGGAAAGAAGAAAAAGAGTCTTTACATTAGTCTATGCAGGGGAGGGGGGAGGATTGCTGTTTATACCTTTACAAATAGAAAGATCCCTTTGTAAATTATCACTCTACGGAGCAGAAGAGACTAGGGATTCAGTTTTTTCCAAGAATTAGTTCTTAAAGTTTAAACAAAATGTCATTAATAAAACCTTAAAACACATGCACATGGACATCCCTAGAAAACAAAACTAAAACAACCACCAAAAAATCTCCACCCCAGTGGCTCTGAAGCCTTGAAGGGGATGTATTTGTTTCGTTTAAACTAACAACAAATTATCTAATTAATATGTTTCAATTACAGCATGAAAGGGAGAGGCTCTGGACCGCCTGCAGTGGGCTCACAATAGCCCCAGAGCCCACTATAGGAATTTACAATAACTTCACATCTGTTTCTTTATTTCCCACTTTTTGAGGCTAAAACTCCTCTCAAGATCACTTCAAACCTCGGCCCAAGTTATGAAATATGTCCCTGAGCCAGAGGGGAACAAAACTTTGCACACGGAGGCTTCATTTGCAAGCAAGAAAGTGAAAGCCCATTGAAGAGCATTAAACAAATATATTAGAATTCTGTCACTTTATGCAAGTGAGTAGATCAAATAAAAGGTCCTGGGCCACTTCATTCACTCTCATTCACTTGAATAGAAAATGCAAAGAATAGCAAACCGAGACTGGGCCACCGATGTAGATTTAGCTCCTTTTTTCTAAGAGACAAAAAGCCTGAATTTTCACAAACACATTGCTGACTCGGGGACTAGGAAACCAGCACTGGAACCCCTTTGGAATTTAAATTCATTTTATCTTCCTCCCTTTTTGGGGTCTGTTTGCACTACAGTGCAAGATGCATCGGGCATCCTCTGTCTTCTGGAAAGGAAAAAATGGGGGAGGGGAAGAAGGAGGTTTGAGGAACGGAGTAGTGGGGGTTAGGATTTACCGAGATCATGTCATATCTATCGTCTGACTCTGAGATAGTTCCAATTTATTAAACACATATATGTGATAAATATATATATATATATATATATATATATATATATATATATATATATATATATATATGTGTGTGTGTGTGTGTGTGTGTATAGATACCCATACATGTATATGTGTTTATAACTCCACCTCCCCTGCCACTGAAGTTTCCAAATTCTTTGCTTTGTTTGATTTGCACAGGCAACTTTCTACCTTTACTTCAAACAGGTTAGAATAGGAACTTTCAAGTTTTCTTCTTTCCCTTGATAATGTTGACATCAGTGCTACGCCAGATTTGAAACTTCAGTTCAAAACTTCACCTTTATAGAAAAGAGCAATGAAATATTTAATTTGAACACACATACAGTCTTTCCATACGCCTTGCCTTGCTGGATAGCTGTGTTTGAAATAGTGTTGTCGTGGAAAAAATAAGTGAAGGTGCTGAGGGGTTGGCAAGAATTTTTTCATTCTCTCTCTCTCTCTCTCTCTCTCTCTCTCTCTCTCTCTCTCTCTCTCTCTCTCTCTCTCTCTCTCTCCCTTCTCTCTCTCTCTCTCCTTCTCTCTCTCTCTCTCCCTCTCCCTTTTGCCCGCCCTCCCTCCACCTCAGTCTCTCAGTCTCTTTCTCTCTATATGTGTGTTATGTGTGTGTGTGTGTATTATATATGTATGAATGTGCCTAGTCTGATCTTCTTCATATGGCTTTAAGGGATTGATATTTATATTTAATCTTTACAGGGTTTTGGGAGATAATTTTTAGACTCTACATAACTGTTCATTTTGACAGTGCATGCTGGATGGGAAAAAATAAAGCTTTATTTTTCATCCTTGGATTCATAAGTATTGATGGTATGAAATACATTTGTCTTCAATTTTGTAAGAGAAATGTAGGCTGCCTCATGCTAGGGAAGATGTTTCTAGCATCAGCCACCAAGAATATGTGTCTAAATTGTGCCTGGTCAGCAAGAGTTCCCAGATTATGTGAAATTTTAATACCGTTTATACCCTAGCTTCACGATTTCAAAAATCCAGTGTCTCCCCAGAGTATTCCTCTTTTTATTCTTGAGGTGGGAGGGGAGGAGGGAAGAGCATGTATGTAAGTAAAGGAAAGATTTTGAGGAAAGTTGGTCTCTTTATTATTGGTCTCACTTTCCACTAGCCATACACAATCTTTAAAAATTTTTTTTTTGTTTTTTGCTTAATCAAACTAACCGTCTTTCAAAGATTAGCCTTCTAAGGAAATTTGAAAGAACATTTTTACAACAAAGAGTGTCGAATTTTTGTATTTTGAACAATCCATTTTCCACCTATATCTACAAATAGCAGAAAAGAAAGTACTTGTAGGTTTCTGAGGGGACAAACCCTGAACATTAATTAAAGCAGATTAAGCTACCATTTGAAAAGGATTCTTTACATATCCGTTATTTGGAAGCCTGGGGATTCTGCATTGTGCTTTGCAGCATGTATATTTTTATTTACATAGTTAATTTTTCCCCCAGAGTATTCTTTGTT